TACTTTGAAGGTGTACTAGTACCGTACCAGTCTTAGAGACAAGTACATACAATATATTTAATATTTATACAAGAATCTGTAAACCATACACTTAATTATACGGAACAATATATTGAGAATGAATATATATGACTAGAAAGGCCAATATTTGCTTTGGAGCAAATACAGCGATGGGTTCACCACTTTTTACGACATGGCAGGGAAAGAATGAGAAACACAAGGGAAAACAATGATTTACATTGATATAACTATAATATGAAGTAACATACAACTAAAACAACAGTTGGATAGCTATTCCCTACTTTATTGGTTAGGATTTTTAATTGCATAATGCAAACTGTTGATTTTCAAAATAAATAAAAAAACGTTCATGCCCCGCATTCCAATGCTGGAGCAGAAAAGCTTGAAATACCTACCAAAACACTTGAATAAAGACATACTGTCAGTATGGAAATGCTCTGTGCAGGTGTTAATCAAGTTAAATCCCAACAGCCAATCAGCAAGAAATGCTCTGTGCTGGTGGAAATGCTCTGTGCAGGTGTTAATCAAGTTAAATCCCAACAGCCAATCAGCAAGAAGTATAGAGAAAAGCTGCATGCCTATTGGTTGATGCCCTGCATTCCATTGTGATGACTCATGCCCAGACGTGGTAAACATGGCACACTAACACAGTAATACATTTGCTATAACACAGCCAAAAAACTCAAATAAAACCATTCTAAAAGCCTGTATCACAAAAATTTAAAAAACGCCTAGGGGTATTTGCCCACCGTACCTCCATACCAAATTTCAGGACCTTAGGCCCTAAAATGAAGAAGCTGAATCCATTTAAAAAATGGCAGGAGAAGGAGGAGAAGGAGGAGAAGAAACATCAGAAAAAGCAATATGGGTTCACCACCACTTCGTGGTGTGGTGAACCCATAAATATATAAGAATCGGCCATTGTAACATAATAACATTATCATTATCCATCTTTCGTTTTAAATTTTCTTTTTAAAATTCTTATACAATATGGAATATAATCTTCTTCCATCTTATACAACATGGAATATAATCATTGTATTGTATGATATGTGTGAGTGCCGGATTTGTGTACCCGGGTACCCCCAAGTCGTCCTTATTTTTATGACGTCACAAGCGTCATGCTGAATGTTGATTATATTTCAGTCCATACCATGGTATCGACGAAATATATTGTGTTCTCTCATGTTTCTTCTTCTCCTTCTCCTTCTCCTCCTGCCAAACAGTCAAAGGGATTCAACTCCGCCATCATTCAGCCAAATGACTTGAAATTTGGCATGGAGGTAGAGTGGGCCAATACCCCCAGGCGTTTTTTTTTCATTTTTTGATACATGCCTTTGAAAAATTTTTATGAAGGTTTTTTGGGGCATTTTTCGCCAAAAAATGGATTTTTGGATCCTGAGCCCTGGTTTTACAACCAAATGATCTGAAATTCGGTATGAGGGTACCTTGAACATGTGTCTACAGAATAGCAGTCACATATTTGGCATACACCACTTCCAAATGACTCATTTGGGGGACTTTAATGGCTATTTTCAGCAAAAAAAAGGGCTAAATGTGCTATACCCGTTGAACGGGTTCGAAATACAAAGGTGCAATGTGCAAATTGCACGTAATTTTCAAGATTTGTACCTAAAAATATTTTGAATGTGCAATTTTGCACCTGGAAAATACCGATATATCATGTTTGCACTGCGTATCTCCGAAGTTTCTTGCTGTGTCGGCATCGCACTGGGCGCATGGCAGCCATATTGTTTTCCTTACTGAACATCCTGGGAACAAGCTGCTCTCGTCCCCAGGTGAAGACGCGAAGGCACTACGTAATGATTTACCAAATATGGCAAGACGCGAAGGCCTACGTAGCTGATTTACCAAATATGGTGAGACCCGCGAAACTTGTTGCCCGATGTGGGACGAAGTCCTTCGGCAGAGTAATTTCGGCTTTTTCGTCCAATTTTCGGTGAAATTCGGTGAAAAACAGAGTTTTCGGATTTCCCAGCATTCAGTGCTACCCAGGAAATTTGTAAAGCATGAAGAAGGGCCCACGAAGAAGGGGTCGATTTTCAAGTTCTTTTCACGGGCCCAGCCGGCATCAGAGGCTGGTGCAGCCGGTGGCGGTGGACCAGAGGCTGGTGCAGCCGGGGGCGGTGGATCGGGAGATGCCACCGGGTCCACCGTCTCCGAGGATCCCGCGGCCGCGGCCGATGTTGACGACGCGCCCCCAGAGGAGGGGGAGGGGAGCGCCAAGAAGCAAAAATTTACGTTGTTTTTTCTAAGCAGTATTTTTTCCTTATATCATGCACGATATTCAAGGTAAACAAATATACAAAATAAATGAAATTTATTGCTCGCATACTGTTGGTAAATTTTCTTTATGTGCCGTATAAGATGTGGAAGTTCCAACTGTAGTGTTCGTGACATGTATTCGTGACAATGTATACTAAAACTTCTATATGCAGTGGCAGGCTAAGAATGTTAATACACAGTAAAACAGTTGCAAACCTAAAGATGCAAGGCTAAATATAATTTTGCACATAAATTTTTCAAATTGCACCTAAAAATTTTGCCAATGTGCAATTTTTCACGTACCTGAAAAAAAGTATTTCGAACACTGGCCGTTCCATGTTCTATCTAAAGAATGGCCTGTTCTATCTGCCGTTGGCCATGGAACACGTGTTCCATTGCGGGTTACCTGAGGTCACATTGCACGTAAGTGCGGAATGACCCACACATTCAATTTTATGTGCCTAAGACCTTCAAAATGTATCAAATCTCATCATTGTTAGTATTTGCATACCAGTAATAAGACTAGTAAAGCTTTCGAGATTCAATGTGCTTGTTCTTGCATCTTTGTTCTCAATTACATAGCTACTATATAGATATATAAAAAGATAATCAAGGAAACAAATTAAGAACTTACAGAAAATTCAAACAGTCATATGAAAGAGAAAAATTTCTGGACATTGAAAACTTCAGCTTTCGCCGAGCCATGGCTAAGCTAAGAATTAGCGACCATCCACTACACATTGAAACTGGTAGATACAGCCGGACTCCTCCGAATGATAGGCTCTGTGAACTCTGTAAAAATAATTGTATAGAAGATGAAAAACATTTTATCCTGGAATGTCCATTGTACAGAGATCTACGCATCTCTCTCTTTAACACTATTAAACTGGGCCAGAGAGTTACAAAGTTAACAAACGACGAACTGTTCACATACATAATGTCATCGTCTAAACACCAGGTGATTGAGAAACTCTGTGAATTCGTGTACGCATGTTTCAAGAGTAGAGAAGAAACTAGTAAGCTACTAGTATTGTAAGCTTTAGAGTTAGATGAATTATAGTATACAGTAGATGTTAGTTTTGTTTTGTTTTTCTTCTTATACAATTCCCTATGTACTCGTACTAGTAACTAGTATCATACAGTATGTTAGGTCACCCAATGCATTTAGCCCGGAAGGGCATGAATATGCAATAAACATCATTGTCATTGTCATTGTCATTAAATAATTCATTTATTTGAGAATCTTTGCCTGTTTTACACTGGGGTAAGTTTGGAATAGTCCACTTTTGCGTGGGAGGGAGATGGACTGAAATATGCTGTATTTGCTCCCAAGCAAATGTCGGCCTCTCTAGTTTCAATATAATTTCATTAGGTGCCAAATTAATGTACCTGGTTATCAAATTACCTACTACCATGTTTCCACGGGGTTTCGTATTATGAAAAGCATCTATATAAAGGTTATTTCAAACGTGTATACGACATTTACGTACTACTCTGTTATACCATTAATTATATCTGATTTAATGTTTTATCCTTAAGTATGTTACATTTTTCTGATAGACAGTGCTTAAGTTAAGGGAGTTTCAAATGCATCTAGGCCTTTAATGAGAGAAATTAAGTCTACATAAAAGTTAGTTGGAAATCATGCTGATTTTTGTCCTTTATCAAAGGAAATGTTTGAAAAAAAAAACATTTTTACACACGAGGATTCTAATATTTATGTCTCACATGATGACCTTATTTGTTTACTTATTGCAATCATGTTCCAATTGCTGTGATTAAAGTATTCCTGATACTTTCATTATCTTGCTAATAATCAAGCTAACTATAAACAAAGAAGTCAGGGAAAGCATCTACACTTTTCATAGCTCCCATGCTATAAGCGTTGGGAGAATAGGTGGGTGAGTGAGTGAGTAAGTGAGTGAGTGAGTGAATGAGTAAGTGAGTGAGTGGGTAACCAGGATACGTTTAAGTTGAAGATTTACAATAATGCTACTGACTTCAGAAATCGTTGTCTGTGTTAGCAGCCAAAGCAGCAAAGAGTGACAAATTGAGTAGCGCTTTTTTGTTGTTGTTTGCAGCCAAAAAATATTCAGGGTCATTTATGTTCACCTGTAGAAATAACTCTCCTATTTCTAATGAATCACACTGTCGCCTCTTCAAGATGACATGTTTTATTGTAAATAAAAAGCTTGGGCTGGTCTTGCAATGCGTGGAAAACGACAATTTTATAGCACTATGGTAAGCCGTTGGAAGTTTGCACATTGCACACACACTGTAGGAAGATCAGATTTTACATTGAAGAACAATATCTTCTCAACAACAATCTCTTTCCTGGACTGATACATATAATATGTTAATATGTTCATTTAAATCAACATTGATGGTCCAGGAAAAAGAAAACCCTAGGGCGAATAGGGTTGTCAAATAGGGATGTGACACACAATCATTCACATGCCTTATAAGCGCAAATGTTATGAAAGCGACAGATTGGTAAATTGGTGAACGTACACACACATTTTCTACGTAACACTTATGTTGAAAAAATTACCACGCAAATATTTTGAAAACACTAATCAAACGATACTCACTATAATGAGACGATGATGACATGAATAAGCCTCTGTTATAGATTTTGATATATTATTTTTAAAAAACTAGGTCTGCGGCACCCTACAATTGTTGGGTTGCACATACTGTACCATTTATTGGTGGTATTTCTCGTGCAATGAATCACACCGCAGGACAAAAAAAATTATGGGTCTATGACATAATTAAGACATGAAATTATGGGGAAATACTTTTTAAAAACTGCCAGCAGGACAAGGGCTAATTAAGATAACAAGCATTGCTAGGTTATCATTATTTCTGTTCCACATTTTAGTGGTGTATTTTTGACAAATATTCATATTCAATGACATGGGTAAATGATGATAAATTACCTTCATGAAGGTATTTTCTTTAAGAATTAAGAGGAATAAAAAAAACTATATGGAGGTATTACAACCATACTTACAGAGGCATTACAAACTCTCCTACTTCTAACCTGACACATAGAAAGTCACGTGTGCTATCTGTATTGCGTGACGTCACAAAAGGATGGGGTTAAACAGTCGACAATTATTTTACTCGTATTTGTCATCTTCAGTTGCAGGACCGTCAATGCCTTGGTCCTTTCCTGTCATGTCTGTCATGCCCATGTCCGCCATGCTGTCCCTAACGACCATCTTCCTGCGGCGTTTAGGACTGGTCAGCAGGCAGACAGCTCCCACTATCAGAGTAGTGACCAGGACAGCACAGCCAACACAGAGCAGGGTAAGGTACATGGGGTTGTTGTACCACATCTGGTCAGGAGCATCGGTGGCTATAGTAATGATAATAAAGGCAAATCATGGTTTACTTAAAGTTTTTTTCTTAGGTATTGACTGGAATTTTTTTTTAAAAATGACATTTAAACGTCTACTTAGGTCTAAAATAAGCTGCTACCCCACTTTCTTGTAGCGGCAGAGTGCGCGACTCGGAACCAAGAGTCCCGAGTTCGAGTCCTGACATGCCACCGATCTTGTGCCCTTGCGAAAGGCAACTTACACGACTTTCCTCACATAGCTCAGGTGTAAATAAGTATTGCCCTGCCATGTATTTGTCCCCTGTGTTGGTGGTGGCATTAATATAAGTTGACAAAACTTGAGTGTGTCGTTACCACGTCTGGTGATTACATGTTGGAATAAAAAAAAAAGTTTCTTGTACACTTACGCCAGTAAAAGCAAACTAGTGGGGGGCTAGCGTATGTTTTGAATCCCGTAATTGATCTGTTATCAATCTATTCAATTACGTACATACAAATGGTTTTTACAAAGTATGTGTTGGTGACTCGCTATTTAGTAGAAGAACATAACTTGACAAATTTCTGGACAAAGACGGGAGTTGTACAGTCCAATTCATTGTGTTGGCAATTGCATATCGACGCAAATAATAACATACGAATCCATGTAAAAGACAAACGTTAACTAAATATTAACCTTGTGAAGAGACTTGCAGAGACGATGGGATGACAACGATCACCCCGTTGGTCCCACTGATCGTGTTGTTGGACAGGCCGTTCAAGATGGCGTCCATGACGTCAGAGGGAGACAACCCGGCATCCTCCACGACGTAGATTTCGAACTCAGCGATGACACTTCCCTGTCGGAATGTCTTCACTTTGCAGCCTAGGAACTTATCCTGAAGGCTGCTGGATTGGAGTATGGTATTGAGCTGTGGTCATGATGAAAATGAGCGTAATTAATTCATATTTTAAGAAAAATGTCTTTTTTTTTCATTGTACAAAAAAATATGTGTGAAAATTTCTTGGGAAACTCTTATAAAGACCTAACACAAATGTTATTAGCAACCGTATTGGAGAACCAATAACTTATTGACTACCAATAAAAGAATATAATTACTGAATATTGATGCAATATGCGTCGACGAAGGTTAGACATCCAGTTGATACGATATGTCCAAAAGCTGTTACTGAAGCAACTGGATATGATTTTGCCTTTTGGAAACGGTCAGACATTCCAGGTTTATCCACTAGCTTTCGTCAGTGACTGGGAAACCAGAGCAGAAATGCGGATTTATAGGCACTATGATGTAATATGCTTTACGAGTTTTCAAACACCTTGTATACCGTTTTTCTCAGTATATTGAAAAACCATTGGTAATACATCATATGGTACACTACATTTGACCACAATAGAAATTAAATAACGCAACTATTATCTCTTACATATTGAAATTAAAACTTAACTCACAGCCTCTTCCAGTAGCGTTGCCATTTCAATGAACTCCCGTGAGCCGGGGGTCCCCAACCCGTCAGCAGTGAACACAGCTTTATTCCCATTGAATGTTGTCAGAGTTATCTCTCCAGTGAAAGCCGTGGACTCTGAAGAAACAAATACGTACTTTAAACAAACATGTAGAAGATCATCATGCATCACTACAACAAAAATGAAATACATGGCACTCCTCGTTTGGTTTTAGTTTGGAGTCGGCATAGTATTGTAGAAGATTATGTTTTCAGTACTTTTACCTTTACACAATGTTCCGCCTTCTGCCAAATAGTACCCCGCAACACACTGACACACATGGACGCCGTTAGCCTCCACACACTCCTGGGTCTGCTTGTCAGGGCAGCCGGTCTTCCTGCAGTCTGTGATTTCTACATGGTGCAATGTTTAATGAAATAAAGATTTGCCATTAATAGTAATAGAAATAAAAGTTGACATTTTGTATACTAAGAAAAATCTAACAAGACGGAGTGATTCTTTAAACGTTTAAGTGCGTGTATAGAATTTATTATCCATATCACAGAAACCCAGTTAGATGATATAGAAATAAGTTGAAACATTTTCACCATAAGCCGTGCACATTATAGAAAGAATAGTTATCATCTTGTCCTATATGCATACAACGAATGCTCTTTGTCTAGAGAAAGACCGGTAATTTGAACAATTATACCAACAGAGACAGTACGCTAACAATTTCTTTGTCACATCAACAACCACGATACGTTTTATTATTATTATACGTATTATTTATTATTTTATTTATGGATAATTTGTGGTAGATTCTCAAAAAAAGAATAATAAATGACCTTGTGCGGTGACTGTGGTCAGCACTTCACTTGGCACTGACGTCGTTGTTATTAAAGAAAAAGAAAAGCGCATCATAAAATAGTGATTAGAGAAAAAATGTTCTAAACTTAGATAATTCCACTAATTTACCACCATGAAAAAAAGAGCAATATCTATAACAGTGATTATAAAATGATAATAGTGATTGCAATCTGACCTTCACAAGATTTACCATCCGCTGCCACCACATGTCCCTCTGGACAGACACATTCATACCCGCCAGGCGTGTTTGTACACTGGTATTCACAGCCATGGTTTGTCAGCACACATTCGTTGATGTCTAGAATTAGAAAAAAGCTTTTACCATCCTTTTGAAAATCATCAAGTATTTTTGCAGATCTTAACTACTTGTGATGGCGGCAACGCGGCAAGTCGGAGGTTTGTGCATACGTTTCCTCATGAAACAACACTCGTAGAAGCAGATCTGTAGATCATCAAAGCTTTTAACAATAAGTCTTGCTACAATTGGTAAGGGTAATCAGAATGGCAAAAAAGCCCAGTTATGTCCAATTCCTAAACATCTCCTATCATAGTCACTATGCAAAATACAGTTTACAATTTCTAGAAAGGTTAGGGTTCCTACACAAATGACATGCAATGTTAAGCCAAAATACAGTTATCCGTGCGACATGACATGTTTGTAAAGTAAACGTATTTTACATATTTACCTTCTTCACAAATTTCTCCAATCCACCCGCGAGGACAGGTACATGTGAACTGGTTGTCGCCATTGTGACATTGACCTCCATGCATACAAGGAGTGCTCAGACACTCATCAACATCTAGGGCAAAGTAAAGAATACATTCAGACTGGGAGAAGAGATGTAGTTAAAGGAAGCTTTTAGTGACCTTACGTGGTGTTCAATATGGTGTTCAATGGGGAACATGCATATTGTACATGTTCCCCATTGCCTTCGTCATAATAATGATATATTGCTACCCAGTATGATAAAGTATAAAAAGCTATACGTGCACATTTCGTTAAACCTACAGGTGTTAAAACATGGCTATACTGAATACCTAATACACAAACCTAGTGCAGTGCTGGGTAAATTAATCCTATTAGTTACTGACCCTCAGCACAGTCATGTGAAGTGGCTTACCTCTACATGCCTTTCCATCGGGACCAAGAACCAAATCCTGCGGGCAGAGACACGTATAGCTGCCGTTTGTATTGACGCAGATGTGAGAACATTCGGAAATGCCGACCAGGCACTCGTCGAGATCTATAACAATAACAGAAACAAAACAGAAAGCGCATGTAATACAATGAAATATCTGTTGGAAAGAAACCTGTCTGAAAAGTAATCAATTTTACAGATAAAGTAGATATTTAATGGACCCCTAATGTAAGCAAACATATGCTAGAAAGGGTTAAATTATCAATTTTATCCAGGTATATGAATGAATGTTTCAATTTAAGCTCAGTTAAATTCAGTTGCCAGTTGTAGGTTAGAGCAAAACTGTTCACATCTTACCAATGCAGTCTTGTCCAACCAATAGAAAACCTGGCTGACATGTGCAGCGATAACTTCCGGGAACATTCTGACAGATGTGATGACATCCGTAGGCCTGGGCATCAGCGCACTCGTCAATATCTGGAAAAAGACGAACAAAATAAGATGTGATTGTGTAACCAAGAATACATAGCCATTACCATACCTACTGTGATATTACAAGTTCAATCACGATTTAACCAAAGTTTTGATCTAAAAAAAACTAAGCAGATGGCCAAGAATCGGATATAGTATGGGCCCCCAAATACCTATTGCTTGCTTTACACAAAGGTCTAACAATGTAATTTATTTTTTTGTTATTTAAGGCCATGTTGATTTGATTATATGGATGACATCCGCGCGCGCATGAATTTTCGGCCGTTTCCAAAAAAAAAAGTTTTCAACCATACTGTAAATCGTACAAAACAGTTGCAAAATGAGCAAAAATATACCATAAGTTACAAAAAAAAATAATAAAATCTATACCAATGTCGTAGAATGCCAAAATCAAACGAAAAAAGACGAAATTGTAAAGAAATGAACTTGAAGACTAGATTATTCGCCAAACCATATTCTGTGCCATTTGCTCAACCCTCATGACCACGTAGATTTCATAATGAAAACAACTTTTTTTTTGCAAAACTTTTTTTTATTCGCACGCGCGCATCAGTTTTGGGGCTCCCGGAGGATGTCATCCATATAATTAAATCAACATGGCCTAAGATAAAGTGTAACATGTGTATATATGCATTTAGACGAAAGATATTAAAAAGTATAGTGTACAAGAAATAAGATAAGTACCTTCACAAATATATCCATTGCCAAAGTACCCAGCTGGACACCTGCCACACCTGACTTCTCCTCCGCCTAAGTTGATACAGCTGACCCCGGAATGACAGGCTCCCTGCGCGCACAGGTCGTCAATATTGATGCCGCAGTTTGGTCCCGTAGACCCGGCGTCACATGTACAGTTGTAGCCATTAACACGGTCGATGCAGGTGCCATTTTTACACGGGCTGGCCGCACACTCGTCGATCTCAGTCTCACAGTATTGCCCAGTGTAGCCGGGACATTCACAGGTGTAGAAACCCTGACCTCTAGGTTTGGTGACGTCGGGGATGCAAACTCCATTGTGCTGACACGGACAATCCATGATCTGGAACTGGAAAGTTTGCTGGAACGAAGCTCCACACTCGTCAGTTATCGTGATTAGCATGCTGAAGGGCGAAGAGTCGTGCCCATGCCAAGAAAGTTCCCCGTTTGACAGCAGCAGAACGCCGTCGGGACTTGGTGAACCGGGGTCTCGGGAGAGCGTGAGGGGCCTACCTTCTGGGTCAACTGCGCCGATTGTAAGGGTGAGATTTTCTCCTGCTACCTTCGTGATGGTTGATGGGGAGTTGAAACGCGGAGCTTGATTCACTGATACAGAAAAAAAGGAAGTTAATTAGTACTATTGTCGTGGTTTTACCTTTAAATTTCTGACTTAGTATTACCCTGAAAAGTAGCCTAAAAGATGGAAACAATGAGGTTGGGATATGTTTATCTATCTTTTAACACAATTAAGAATTAGACGACAGTATACTACATGTATCTGTAATATTTAAAAGAGAAATATTTACCTTAAGCTGCTGTATTTGAAAAATGTGAAATACAAAGTGTACCATTGCTTCAGCGTATTTAAAATATACATACCTGGACGCTCGGTCCAGGTGGTGTTAGAAAACTGAGGCAGACACTGCTGGCACCAGTTGTTAGGGTCAGCCTCACCACTTGCAAAGCAGTGTCCCCGAATGATGCAGGTATTCGGCTTTAAAATGAAGAAATAGAAAAAAAGAAATGACATAAATTCTGCTGTTCACAGATTGGTATTGGTCGTTGTAATCAATCTTACATTCAGAATTAAAGATACACAAATACAAAAGATAGGAAGCAAGATTTATGAAATAAAATTACAATAAAAACAAAATATTGCTTAATTTACCATACCTTCCAGAAACAGTTGCCTCCGTCAGTACACTCCTGGCAGACAGAGTCATACACGGTGAAGAGTAGCTCCTGGCTGAACCTCTGCCCATCGTTACTGACAGACAGCATCATCCCGTGTGTGACGGCTCCCTCTCTCTCCGCGGGTGTTCCTAGTGCAACAGGAGATCTCGGCAGATGGCAGCGGACTTCACCCGAGCTGAGCATGCGGCCTTCCGTCTGTCCTGTTGTGTCATGTTGGACCTCCCGCACCCCATTATGGATCTAAAAATGATAAATATACCAATTAAGGTTAGACAGTCGTGTAATAAGATACGCAGAAAAACAGTCACTTATTATATAAGCAACTGGATATGGTAACGGTTAGTCGTTTCATCACACTGAAGAGATCTAAAGATTAACAGGTTTATTAACCCATCGAACTAGTAAGTTAAATGTAAATAAAGAGAAGACAAATTTTAGATAGTCCAAAACAAAAAAAAAACATCATAACATGATGATCTTAAGATCCCACCAGTGTCACTGACAATTTGTACTGGATGCTACAAGTAACGTCTAGCCATTGCCAAAACATATTTAGTTGCTTGGGTGACTGTTTACTGGCGAAATGATTCAAAATGAAAGTTTGTAAATGTAAAGAAACATGGCTTATGGCCTAAACATGTCTAATGCTATATAAAAGTAATCGCCCGATGTAACATCTAGATTTGTCTGAATACATGTAACTAACAATGCTTACCGGGACTTGAGTCACCCGACAGGTTAAGTTCTCTGAGTCGATCAGCCCGTCAGCGAGTAGAACTGCCTTCATACAGGGGCGATGCCGGATGTCACACAGGCCCTTTGCTGGTAGAGACAGCACCTGTGGTGCTCTCCCAGCCTTCATGGAACAGTCAGCCGAGATGTAGCCTTCCTTACACTGACAGGTCCCGTTAACACACTCACCTCGCTGGCTGCACTGACGAGGACAGAGCTGACTAGTGATGATTGTCGGTGGAACGGCAACCCCATCCTCGTTTACCTCGTAAAGACTTGTATTTTGATATGCGCGTGCCGAGCACTCTTCTTCGATCTCCTCTGCAGCTGACAGTGCATACGATATATCCTCTGTAACCTGTAACGGCGTGTAATATACTATTATATATTCGTAAATAATTAAATTAGGTTGATGAAGAATTTAATAGCAAGTTTTTAAACACGACGCTTAAATAGGCGTATGGGCTTATTTAGATTTTCTGTGCAGTGGTACTATAAAGTGCACTGTTACAGTAACATCTAGCTTCAGTGCATAATAAGCCAGTAACGCCTATAGCTTCAATGCACAGTAAAACAGTAACATCTAGCTTCAGTGGACAGTGAACCAATCATACCGGTCCTAATGAAGATCACAGATGGTCATTGAAACATCGGCTCGTGTTAAAAAGCCGTTATGAATAAAGGACTATGCTATTCACATTTGGATATGGCTGAAATACAAAGACATATTTCTAGTAATGAATTAATAATATGAGCAATATATGCCAATTTTTGAAATTATAATTTCCTTACCTGTATATCAGCCATACATGTGTCAACTTTGGAAAAGATGTCTATACCGACTACATCTCGACATGCCGTAGCCACTGTAAGGTTCGTCACAGCCTCTCGACAGATGTCCCTTGCCTGATCCTCTGTTATGCCAAAGTTTGGCGTTGGCCAATCATTGACAATAGGTTGGAAGTTAAGTTGAGGATCATAGTCATAGTCACCAAGCTCATTCAAATCGTCAGTGTACAGTTCAGGATCAAGTCGAATGTCAGCCACATCCCTTTTCCTTCTCCGGGCACACTGGATGTTTCCACTAGCTCTGAGGAGGGTATCATCGGCGCCACCGTGGGTCATCTCTGTCTGAATGTTGCCTACATTATTTCTCTTCACAAGCTTTTTGAAATCACACTCAAGGCTGTTGCCACTGATGCACTGACAATACTCTACATTTGGTATTGGATCATCAGTTGGGGTAAAGCAGTCGTCATGAAAAAAGTTGGGACCTCGGACCCTAGAAAGAGAATTAGCTGTAACTTCAAATTACGGTGCAACTTTTTAATGTACAAAATTAGTAACTTGATGACTTGGACCCTGACTTGGGAGGAATAAGGTATAGCTATATCAGAAACCATGTTTTAAATGTACATTTTGAAGAAACACAGAATGGCCCTTTCTAAAAATAAAACAAGAATAAACAACGCATCTGAAATAAAGACAGGGATAGCATTACATATCAAAATAAATACATTTGATAAAGAACATAACAAAAACGGGTGGGGATGACATGAATGAAATACAACTGTATACTTCACATCACCCTTTGTCCAAGCCTTCGGCCGTCGAGCGATCCGACCCGCTGTACGAGCGTTATATTGGATAATCCGTGTAGTATTCTATATGTATATGAACTGGATAAAATAGTACTGTTACTAAAGGGCTTACCGCCAATCCTCAGAATATTCGTGGTGCCAGTCCCTCCATGTGTGAGACGGTGACAAACTCCCATCACGCATCCGCAGGTCATTACTAGGATCTCCGTCCCAATATCCACACAGACCCTCCGTGTTCCTAAAGTCAGCTCCTGGTGCGTGAACTGTGATCTGCATGTGTGTCAAACGAGCATCCGATACAATGTACGCTCCTGACGGCATGCTTACCTGTTTGAGAAAGATTCTACTTGTCAGTCAAATACAACTCCAAATCAGAGCATCCAACCAACTGGGTTCTGATGTCGAGTACGGGTAACCGCTTTAGGAAATAAAGGCATACAGTATGCCTGCGGACGTAAAATGGGCCATCGACACGAAACTAGCGCGTCGACCAGACAAAGTTATGTTGATAAGTTGGGCCGCAAATTACACTTTAGCCGAAATCCATAACTTGCAATTGCTGTTTTGACCCTATCTAATCAGGGGGTGCATGTTCGAGGCCCAAGTCAACTTTTAAGCCCGAATTTCGGAATTGTGCCACAATTTTAAAGTGGTATGATTAAAGTTTTAGGGGCATCAACATATCAAATTTCAAATCACTGTTACAAGTAATTCGGCTGTTAGGTGAGAATTTTTCATAATTCAGTAAACGATTTTGTTTCTATATGCGGTCTAATCCAATTTAACATCCTACATTCGAGTATGTAATACGCTTTACTTTGAAGACTTGGCAGATGAGCCACGGCATTTGTTGCCCATAAATAGATATCTAATACAAAATCAACTCCCAAATCTCAACATGGCAGCATACTCTATTTTCTTAAACTACAATCTGTATAATAACAATGCACATAGCGTAAAATTAAATATGATAGTGACTAATATGGGTCGCCCAATTTGTAATTGACTAAATGTGTAAAAAATTCAGTTTATTACATTGAAATAAAATGATAAAAGCCAACATTCAATTTACCTTGTGCTTCTTGCCAGTTGGATCCCTCTCAACAGTCACGGCGTGAGAAAGCGGCCCTCCTGTTGCTGTTTTGTACGAGACTGTCGGATGAGCGTACCCATATCGTGATTGGCACATATCAATGATGACGATGTCATTAGCCTCTCGAACAGCTACGCCACAGTTGCATGTTACAGTACCAGCAGAGCCACAGGTCCAATGTCTTGACTGGACCTGTAACAACAATACAAGAATTATATCTACATTTACTGTGTTCTAGATTGATAAACATTCTTAACAAAAATAAATAAAAATATAAATTGTGTCTTTACAGAATTAGCTACGCCACAACTGCATGTTATATAGAACCAGAAGTCCAATGTCTTGACTAAACCTGCAAAAATGTACCAGAATTATATCTAAATATCTTTGTTCTAGATTGGTAAGCATTCATAACAAATAAATAAAACTAGAAAGGCCGACATTTGTTTGGGAGCAACTCTACTTTCATGCCAAACCTCATGTTATCTAGTAAAAAAATGGCAGAGTTGAATCCCTTTAAAGAAATTGCAGGAATAGAAGAAGGAGGAGGAGGAGAAGAAACATGAGGGAATACTTCATAGTGTGGTGAAGCCATAAATATAAATGCATTTAAAGTGCATTGTGTCTATACTGAAATAGAGTAGAAATTCATTTCATTGAATGCGCGGTATATTAAGTTGTTTTGGTATTATATTTTATTTGGGGTTATTACCAAAAAAAATTAGCATTTAACTAAAAGGGGAATCGTTGAAAATGGAGTGAATGAGTTACTGCATTAAGTCGTTCGGGTTCGCTGTATATATGTGTATGCGTCGTACCTCAAACTCCCTTGCAGTGCTTGCATACAAGACGAAATCCCCATGGGCAATGTTGTGCGCTTGACTGGACAACAGAAATGACCACGATTTCATTGAGCGTTAAGAGACATTTGTAACATTAACGAAAATACGAGGTAAAATATCAATAATATCAAAGTTGTTTACTAGCTAATGTAACTGTACATGGCTGGCCCTTATATGGTATTTTGACAAAGACAAGAGTTCCGTTACCTTTGTCAAATTATGTTTAGGCGATACTGATTGCATTATATGGATGACATAATTTTCGAAAAAAATGCGAGCATGTGTCAAAAAGGTGGGCTAAATTGTCTTGTCTATGAAATGTATGTTGTCAGCAAGGTTGGTCAAATGACTACGTACACAGAGCATGGTGTATTAAATTATTATAACTTTTTTTTATTTCGTTGCTTCGAATTATATTTGACTTTGAATGTGGTAATTGAATCTGGTATCTTCTTTACTTATTTTCCACCACTGTCTCACATCTAAAGCCTAAAGGAATGGCAAGTCCTTCGCGGGTCAACGTTATCGATATAAAAAATGCTAACCCTATATAGACTGGGCTTTTTCGGGTCTCACCCCCCACCCCCCCCCCCAACTCATGAACGGAATATCGTATGACCACTAGATGTTTAGAGGATTGTCTACTAATAAAAAAAATAAATAATAATTTTTATGTCATGATGATAATATGACGTGTAATATGACGCCTTGTGCCGTATTTCATGTGATCTTTTTGGCTTAAACCAAAGTTCTACATTGGTTATTCTCGTAAGATTTTTAAGTATACAATACAAGTTTAACACAATGTGTTTTGATAGAATATTAAAGTATGCTGCCCATAGCATCACCATGGACGTTATAAAACGACGTCATTCATATTCAAATTATCCATCATGATGGATCATCAATTTTGAATTTTCGAAAATACAAATGGAAATAGAAATTTAATGAATTTATCTGAAAAAAATCGAAGTAGTCATGGAATTCTAAAGAAAATAGCCAGAATATATCAATCTGATGATATTGTCCGTCATCTTGGATTTTGACCAATGATGTTAGTACATAAACAAAATTATGCAAAGATATCGATGAAATTGGAATTACATAAAAATTACATAAGATGTTATTAATTCTAAAAGGCATGTGAGACCCGAAAATTTGATTGCTTAAATGAAAATTTTTGAATTTACAAAAACGATGCCGGTCAGAAACAACATTTTACACGTAAAATTTACATCCATAATGAAACGCAACCTCTAATAACCATGGGTTGCATGCTTTAGTACTTAGTGCTTGATTTACAGTACTTACGGTCCATTGTCGAATGTCCTGATATGTGGATCTCCAGTAGAAGTACATCGCCCTTCCCTAGCATCTTCTACTCGTACCTGTAGTGTTGATAGTTAAGACGACATGAGATGTTGGTAATACGTTTCTGGCCATAATTGAACCACATTGTGGAATCTGTTCTCAGTTTTCTGTAACTGTTAACTGCTTTTGTTAAGTAACTGACCACAATTATGCATATATCCAACTTCCGTACGTTCGGGACCGCGTTGTAGATACATTTCCCTGTCACACATTTGTGTAAATATTTTACGTTTGGGAATATATCTATAGCAGCGACACCTGTGCTGAAGTGCAATGTTAACCCATCAGAATTGCCATGAGGCTGGTGACAGATACGGTCACAGATTCGTCGGCGGAATAAAAGACTCGGTTGTGGAAATAGAGTCTCTTTACTCAGTGTCTTACCAACCTGATGAAACTATTCACGAAAATGATATAATGTAATATAATATAATATAACATAACGCTAGAAAGGTAATATTTGCAAAGCAAATGCATAATGTTTACCTTCGCATATGGTCTACTCTGTTAATTCTTACTCAAATATTCCAGATACATAATAATACATATGCAAAAAGCAGAATGCCATATACCTGTATTGTGGCTTCAGGCGTGTAACCACTGAACATATGAGGTACGAACCAACCCGCATGTTCGTGAAAAAAGGGATTACGATATGTGGGCGCTCCCAAATTAATTGTCATTGTTTGAGTAGGGTTCCTCTGGTCTTGATCTTTTACGGCTCTCATTTTAATTATTTGCCCATCTGCACGCTGTGTGTCATCACTCCATTTGTTGGCCTGTATTTCAAATTTACATGTTGAAGTTGCTACTCCGTTACCCCCCAGCCAAAACGGTATTTCAATACTGCAACTTCCATCCGCGTCCCTGTCACCCCAACAAGTAAACGGCACGGTGGAGTAGAATGTCAGCTCATAGAAAGATTCCTCCTCTTGGGGTAGATTGATTAGATGGTGAGTTGCAATCTGAATAAAAATAGAGCAAATGTCACTGATTATTCCTCATCATGATTAAATACACCGAGTTCTCTTATCGACGCATTATCTTATCATGCGCAATTTAAGAAGCTGACTAAGGCCCTCCCCACAATGCTATTTCTTGATATAACTTAGTTCTTAACTCAACATGCCTGACACCAGCATGTCCAGATTAAGCGGTATCAAAATCCAAAATTTCAATACAGTACCAATATATAACAGAACGTGAGAGTGTGGCTCAAAATCTAAAATCACAAAAACCTATAGCCATTCACTACATTTAAACCTGCCAGAGCACCTGTCGGAGGCAGCTGTAGTTACAATCCACATTAAAACAGTTCTTTATTTATAGTTAGGCCGTGTTTAAGTGAAGTCACCCACCCTTTACATGTAGTTTACCCTGAACCCTGAAGCCCAAAATCACCACATTTCCGAATTTTGCACCAACCTGCCTACGCACCAAGTATGAAACGAATCCATCCAGCCGTTATTGAGTTATCTTATTTACCAGCAAACGGACACATGGACAGAATGGCAGCCATAATGGCAAATGCAGCTAAAATATTACCTGCATACCTGCACCTGAATATCATGACATTTCGTGCAGGTAACAACCTTGCTCACTGTAGCATTATAGATAAAGAAGTATTACCTGAATCCCTGCCCATTTCGGTTCACTGGAGATCCAGTCAGTCTTTTCTTCCCTCCCCTCCCAGTTAGCTCGCACCGCACAGGTAATCTATGGAATAAATCAATATCTATGGGCGTATCTATACGGAACCACCCAAGGCGGTTTACATGTGGTTTACCCCGAAGCCGGTTTCAAGTGGCTCCATCTGAACGCTCCGAAATCACATTGAAAGCGCCTCGATCCCAAGCCACTTCTAGAGGTGGTTTCGAATCGCTTTCCCCGCATCGCGATTTGCGTCTGAACGCAATGTGATTTCAATGTGACTTCGCCTGGTCATGGATTACGGAGTGATATTTCTTTTTTTATATGCAATACCAACTTTTACGTGGCAGCAACTTAAAGAGCAGTAATGGTCAAATAATGTGTCCGTTCTAGGGCGAGCTTCACCGCCTCTGGCGGGACCACGTCGGCATTCGGCCGAGATACGCTGGGAGGGGGTCATCATCAAGCAGGTCGTTGACCTCTGACATTAATAACACGCCGCCTTGCGTGCTATCATCAAACAGCAATAAATGTAGCTCAAGCGTATTGTGTTCGGACACGGTTTCACAGGTGTGTGTGGCACGTGGACCAGATGTGAGGAATGTGAGTTACCCGAATCGCGCCTTGGGTGGTTCCGTATAGACACGGCCTAAGTTACACAGCCAACAATAACACTTACAGTACATATCAATATTTGCTTTTTACCCTAACCCCCAAAAATGTATGCACTGAGGCTAAATTGTATCGATATGTATTTTATATTTATATACTTTTTTTCACAAAATGTCATATTGAAAGCAAGGTAAGTGACGTTAACAAAATTCGATACGATTGCGCTTCTCCTTGTGATATATCGTCTTATTATTAGAACGTAGTTAAGCCAACATTCAACAAAAATCATAATTGTTGTGTTTAATTTTGGTTTCATTGTTTTAGTTCTTGAGTGGGTAAGGAACAGTCTTCCCGTATGGCATAGGGTCCACTGTGTCAGAACGGAAGTTTAAGAGCAGATCGTCGTAAGGTCCTCATTTCACCCAGTGGCACTTTCATGGCTCTCTCCTCGCGACCGGAAATTGGCCAGAGCGCGCCGACGATAAATGGAATCTCTACGGCGAGCTCTCTGCGTTCTCTGCGCTCTCTGCGTGACCAATAACTCAAATGTTAGCAACGTTTTGGAGCGATCAACGAATTCATAGCTCACTCAACGAATTAAGGAAATAGAGAAAGAAATTTTGTACATTTTGACTCTTTGAAAGTCATTCTTGTCCTTCTTGCATCATAATCAGATTATCAAATCAGGGGTGCAAGGCCCAATTTTACTAGGACGCTCTTACTGCTCTCTCATTAATATTGCGCTACTCTGCGATCTCTCTGCGACCTGAAATTGGTCGGAGCCCCTATTGCGACCTTGGCGCTCTCTCCGCACTCTGGCTAATTTCAGGTCGCAGAGAGAGCGCTGTGAGAGCGCCGTCTTGTCTGTTTTATTTCTTTCAAAGTCGTTTTTGTACATCCTGCATAAAAACAATTATTTGGATTATGAAAACAAAGTTTTAAGGCCCCCATTTTACCAGTAAGCTTCACTGCGGTCACACAGCGCTCTCTCTGTGACCTGACATTGGTCGGAGATCGGAGAGAGCAACGGGAGAGCACCGAGGTCGCCGTGTTTTGTATCTAAACAAGGCTGTTGTGCGCTCTCATAGCCCTCGCTTTGCGCTCTCACAGCGCTCTCACGGCGCTCAACGTTGCATCGCCGTCCTCGTTGCATGACCCGGTTCCATATCATCGCCGAGGTGACGGCGCTCATGGCTCTCTCATCGCGCTCCCATGGTGACCTTGGCGCTCTGGCCAATTACAGGCCTAGAGATAACGCCGTGAGTGCACCGTCAAAGTGGAATGGCAGTATCACAAGTGAGAAAGATAATGTGATCTATAGCTAGGACATACAGTCAGACATGCTAAGGAGACAACACCTGACCATCGCGACCGTTTTTGCCGGTTCCCAAAATTTGCTGATTGACGCAAAAAAGCAAGCATTAGGCGACCTGTAAGCCGTGAGTTTGGTCCGCCGAAGGTCCGATATCTGCCGATGTAGACCATATAATTTTCGATTATGTTGATTATTGAGATTAGTTTTTGAGAAATCATGGAGAAACCAGCTGGTTGCCTTGACTAATGGCCGTTGTTTGTTCGACGTAAATTGAGCCATGTGCCACCATCCCACATATATTCACCACAGAACTGATAAATCGTACAGAAGTTGAGATTAAAACATTTTACTTGGAAACCAGTTATGTTGGATATCTTTAAGGATATCACCTGTCCAAGGTGATCACCTGTCTTGGAGAGGTTTTACTTTTGCTGTACAAGAAACATTGCAGACCTAGCGCTAAAGGCTACTCCTCAGCAATTCTTTGTCATATACTATATATTTATATTTCTCATATATTTATATCTCTCTCT